AAAAGAATATGAGTTTTTTTTGTAATTCAAAAATGTCACATTCACAAAGCTGAAAAGTAGACCAACAGTCACCAACTAGAATATGGACATTGTTATTATTATTAATATTATTTATATGTTCTCCCAACAACAGCAATTACATTTTTCTTTTTTATAAACTATATGAATCGATGCTAAAAAACTTGCTAACAGAAACCTCAGAATACATCAAACAGGTGCCAGCAGAGGGTTGAAAAAAATAAAAGTACTATATATTCAATCCATTTGGCGCTTCCTGGGGCTTTTTCAAACTTAACTTTGGATAAAAAGCCAAATTGCAAAATTAAGGCTACAATTGCCAAAACTGTGATTATAGCCTTAATTTGTTTTCATAGTTTTAACAATAAAAAATTATAACTGAAAAGTTTCGACTATTTTGCCAAGATTTTATTTTAGACATGAGCCTGATATCGTTACCTCACGTACTTTTTTTTAAATCATTTTCTTTTCTTTTTTTTTTTAATTCTAAAATATTGAAAGACCTTTCCATTTTAGTAGCATATGTTCTCAAAAAGCAGCCCATTCTGTCATAGCCTAGCATTTGGTTGGTACAGAAAGCTTTAATTTCTTTGTCTTGTCTGCTCTTGAAAGCAATAAAAAACAATAAGAATAATAATCTCCTGTCTACTCCGCCCCTGAGGATCTCCTGATTCGGGAGGTGAAATAGTTGTTAGAATAGCTGAGGTGGCTTGATATTTAAATAAGATACAGTTGCCAATGTGCTGTGTGAAGCAATTACACGATAGCTGACTATGAAAACGATAGACATCCAGTTCTAGACTTTTTTTCCACTTTTAGTTATCTACTAACATTACCCAACAAGTGCAATACCATCTGAGACATTATCTATTGTTTTGGAGCCTGTGACATTATTAATTTCAGGGTGAAATGATAATCTTATTAGCTTTTTTTAGGGGTTGGAATCCTTATCATCTAGTATACATAGATGGTAAAAAAAATTCACAGTAACACATGAATTAGGTATATTTACTTATTGACTCTTTTAGTTTTCTACATTCTTTGCGTATTCTACTGAAGTTTTGTCATTAATTCTCCTAATGTACTAAGACTCCCACAATCAAGTGACTCAGTGTTCATGACAATTCTACAAATTTTACCTTTGAATTAAAATATTTTTACCTTTCAATTAGTGCTAGCAATCAGTATAATTATATAGCTACCATAGTGCCACCTGGTGGGCACAAACTGTTAATATAATGCCAGGCAATTGTAGTATTGTGTAGACTGGTGCAAAAATTCAGTTTGTCCATAAACAAAATCAAATCACTCAAAGAAAAACTCCTTGATTCATTCGAAATGCATGAGCACATTTAGTTTGTTTCATGTTTCGCAGTTAGAATTTCCATACATATTCTGAATAAAACTATTTGTTTCTCAACAAAGCAAAAGGGTCTTGTTTCAGAAAAAAATCGTTTAGTTAATGGACGAACTGATTTTTGCACAACACTTGTGTAAACTCACACTGATTTTTAAAATAATTATTCACGTTTGGGTAAATTACTTTTCGTGCTTTGCGGTGTCCAGTCTTTAATGATTTTTATAAAATACCATCTAAAAGTTGAGTTTTATGACTCTTTAGCTCTAAAGGACAAAGTTTCTTAAAGTATTCTGCACATTCGAATTATGAGAAAACAGCTGTGTAAAGCATGTAAAGGCTGAGAACCAACCAATAAATTATACAGGAAACTGCTTAACCCTGAAGTATTTCTTAATTACTGGGGAATTCTTCCTAAGTGTCAAAAAGGTGATAAATCTCATCTCATTTTTTCCCCAATAAATTCCAAACTGCAGTGAATTAAAAAACAAATTGACACATTTAGGAGGACAAAGTTGCTGGTTTCAAAAAATTCCAAGTCAGATATAGTATTTTTTTAAAGGAAAATATTTTAAAAAAAATTAGTTTGGTGTAACGGAAGGATAGTTAGAGAGCTGTACATATATCATTATTTTATAATATTATATGGTTGGCTTGGTAATTACTAACAGGAGTTCTACAGCTTTATACTGCAACTATTAAAAACATCTGTTTTAATATTTAACCATTTACCATTCAGGAACAATGTTTTCTTTGAAAAAATGAGTTTTAAATCAATGCAATTAATGCAATGCAGAATTGTATCTGTATTCAACAACAACACAGCAGCATTGCACCTTCATTACGAATAGTACCAGGTATAAGTGTTCCGCTATGGTAAGTTTAAGATTTGAGTAATTCAAAGTAAGGTTAGGGTTTAGTGGGCAGTCAACCCTATGAGAAAGCGCTCTCATAGTAACTGTCAATGTAGCTCTAAAAATTGTGATGGGGTCCAAAGATGGCTGCCTCCACAATAAAACAGTGTCAGATTCCCTAGTGGTAATTGTGATAGAATTTACTTTGATTCCCAAGTTCAAGCTTATAGTTGTCATATTTAGAGTTGAGCGGACACCTGGATGTTCGAGTCCGGGTTCGGGCTCGAACTTGACCCCGAACCCCATTGAAGTCAATGGGGACCCGAACAAAAATGGCTCTGAAAAACTCCTGGAAAGGGCTAGAGGGCTGGAAAAGGAAGTAAAATGGGGGTAAGAGTAGGACAAGTGCCCTGCAAACAAATGTGGATAGGGAAATAACTTAAAAATAACATAAAATAAGCAGCCGCTTAGTAGATAACTCCCTAATTCCCGCGGTATTAGGGAACTATCTACAAAAAGGCTGAAAGACCTAAATTGGTCACCTAATTTGGTCTTTCAGCCACATTTACTAATACTAAGTAAAGATTACTTAGTATTAGTAAATTGAGCCCCTACTCGCAATACCGCCAGTAGGGGCGTGTCTAGTAAACAGTGAGCAGCCAGTGGCTGCTCACTGTAAAAAAAAACCAAAAAAAAAAACCTATTGCCCCCACCCCTGTGCGATGGGTGGAGGCCCTAAATAAGAATGTGGAGGGGGGGACCTACTGTCCTCCCCCCGACCCCCACCCCTGCGCGGTAGGTGGGGGCCACAAATAAGAATTTGGGGGGAGACCTACTGTCCTCCCCCTCAGCCCCCACCCCTGTGTGGCGGGTGGGGGCCCTAAATAACAATAAGGGGGGGACCTAACTTCCTCCCCCCAGTCCCTACCTCTGAGCGGTGGGTGGGGGCCATAAATAACAATAAGGAGGGGGACCTAATGTCCTTCCCCCAGCCCCCACCCCTGCATGGCAGGTGGGGGCCCTAAATAACAATAAGGAGGGGACCTACTGTCCTCCCCCCAGCCCCCACCCCTGAGCGGTGGGTGGGGGCCATAATTAAAAATTCCCCCCCCCAGGTGACTAGGGGTCTCCAAACCCCTAGTCATTCCCCTCCCCCCCAAAAAATTACCACTACCTACCCCCCTCATCCTAAAAATAATGAGTGGGACCCTTGTCGGTAAAAAAAATAATAGACTTACCATTTGATGTCTTCTTTCTTCTAAAATCTTCTTTTTCCAGCCCCAAAAAAGGGCAAATAAAAATCCAAAATAACCGACGCACTTTGAAAAAAAAAAGAACGCAAAAAATAAATAATCCTTCTTCACCCATGGAGGGCTCTGCACAGACTGAGCTCTGCAGGGCAGGGGAAGGCTTATAAAGCCTTGCCCCGCCCTGCAATTAGAGTCAGAGCACTCTGATTAGTGGGTTTAAGCCATCCAATCAGAGTGCTCTGACAGGTAAATAAAGAGACTGACAGGTAAGTCTCTACATTTACCTGTCACAGCACTCTGATTGGTTGGCTTGAAATCCACCAATCAGAGTGCTCTGTGTCATTTTACACAGCGTGGGAAAGTTCTTTGGAATTTTCCCACGCTGTGTAAAATAAAACAGAGCACTCTGATTGGTGGATTAAGTAACCAGAGTGTTATGAGTCAAATTACACAGCGTGGGAAAATTCCAAAGAACTTTCCCAGGCTGTGTAAAATGACACAGAGCACTCTGATTGGCTGGAATTCAAGATAACCAATCAGAGTGCTCTGTGTCATTTTACACAGCGTTGAAAAATTCCAAAGAACTTTCACACGCTGTGTAAAATGGCACAGAGCACTCTGATTGGCTGGATTCCAAGCTAACCAATCACAGTGTTCTGTGTCATTTTACACAGCATGGGAAAGTTCTTTGGAATTTGACAAGGAAAAAAATTCTTTTTTTTTAACAGTGAGCAGCCACAGGCTGC